AAAAAGATTAGCTCTTACTCATTTTAGTAAACGATTTCTTTGTGACATTAAAACTGTTCCTCCATTGATGTTGCTTGTAATACAGAGAAATGTCTTGACCATGCAGAGTGAAGTTTATTTCTTCCACAAGAATGAACAGGGTTGGGGAAAGGACTTGCTGAGAACATGGTTATGAGTTTAGGGGACTAATCAACTTGATCAATCAATGTGCAACTCTTAAGTGCCTACTATGTTCTAGACTCTGTTCAAGGTTCTTTGATGAGATTAAAGGGATTGTTGAATAAATAAATCAGTTGTTGTTTTTTGATTACATCGAAGGAGTCTGATTTTATGCCTCTTAGACAAGTAGGTAATCCCTATGGAGTGATGAAGTCTCACATCCTCATGGATTAATTGAATAGGTACATGGACTTTTTTTTTCCCAACTCTATGCGGAAGGCCTAGATATACCTATTGATAGTTGTTGAGATGACTGGGGATGTCTCCTTGATGATATAGGGGTACCCCAGGCCTGGGCACCCTTCATGTAATTCATGAAGATTAGTGATTATGTCTCAGCCTTAATTGCCTTGTGCTACTTCTGTGCATTGGAGTCATCCCCTTGATACTAGGCTTATAAATGGGAGCAGATAGAGGTGCTAAAGGCGTAAGGAGAGAAATCCAGAGAGACTTGAGCATAGATCAAAGGAGCCATCTTGGGTTTGGAGAGGTTTGCCCTTCACATAGTAACCCTAGGGAACATTACCCACTCCCTTAGTCCCAGAAATGGCAACTTGAGGAGAAGCAATGGTAGAGCTTCTTGACTTGAGACTTAGCAACTGTGGAAAAGGGAGCAGTATGGTTAAGTGGTGAGTTATTGATACGTAAGCCTTCTGGGGGAATGGCAAGAGTTTCTGAACCCCAGTCTTCTGGAGGACCGGTGAGAGTTGCTCAGCTTAATTCTTCATATGATTTCCATAGCTCAAGGAGCTCAAGGAAAGGGCTGAACCTCAAATCAGAGAACTAAAAGCAGGACTTTTCCCTGCTCTCCTTTTCCTTTTTGGATGGTGCTAATCTGATGGGAAGGGGTTTGCCTCTAGGGAAACTCCAAATACATTTCCCTTCTGAAGGGGAGTCCAAACCTTTAGGCTAGCTGTACTGTAAGGCTTCTGAGCTAGAAAGCAGTACTCTACCAAGGGAAAGATACTGACTTCACTCCAGTGGTTCCCTATCACCTCTAGGACAAAATATAAAATCCTATGTTTGGCATTCAAAGACATTCCAGTCTTATTTCTTAATTTCTTACATTGTTTCTTACCTTACACCACATATTCTGGCATCCAGTGACACTGACCTCCTTGCTAGTCCTTGGACAAGACACATTCCATTGCCAGACTCTGGTCATTTTCACTAGCAGTCTCATACCTGGACTGCTTTGCCTCCTCATCTCTGCCTCATTGCTTCTCTGGCTTCCTTCAAGTCCCAGCTAAAATCTCACCTTCTATGGAAGCGTTTCACAATTATCCTTGATTCTGATGCCTTCTCTCCAGTGATTATTTCAAATGTATCCTATGCATAGCATGTTTGTCTATAATTGTTTGCATGATATCTCCCTCAATAGACTATGAGCTCTGTGAGAGCAGGGACTGTCTTTTAATTTTCTTTCTATCCCTAGCACTTAACAAAATGCCTGGCACATAGTAGATGCTTAGTAAATATTTGTTGACTGAGATTGACTAAGTCTTTTGTGTGCTCTGCATTTTTTCTATAGGTAAAATAAAGACTGTCCTATATCTATCTAATATGCTCTATTACCTTCATTATTAGTATAGGAACCCTTTTATCCAAATCTGTGCAGCCTTAGACACAACTGTATTTTGTCATTCACTGGGCACGCCTGGGTGAGGATAAAATAAACCAAAAGAAGTGAGTTTTGAGAAAATTCTGTGGGTAAACATATAGTAATTGCAATTATTTTGCAACATTTTGATGAACTAATCCCCCAACCACATAGTAGTCTAACAATAGAAAGTCTCAAATCCCTATTCAATGAAAAAATAAAATAAATTATTCAAGATTACAGTAAAGTTGATGGTATCATCCACTGTCATAACAACTATTTGCTGTCTTTGGATAAGAGACCATGCAGTTTTGTTTAAAAAGACTTCTTTCACAATCATAAACATATTTAGTCACTTCCCCTTGTTTCATCCTTGAACAGGGAATGTTTTCTTAAAATAAATCCTGCTGGTCACATTCCACATATTCCTCTTTTCTCCCCTAACTGATCCCCTCTTTCTTTACCCCTCTCCTGTGAAATGCTTTATTACCTATGTAAGGTGCTACACAATGCTGCTGATTAGCTGTGTAGTCTAAACAATCCCGAAAGGTTTTGAAAACTGTGAGAAATGAATATTTCTCTCTTATATTTAATAACTAATTACTGAATCATGACCAAGGTTTTTCTCCCTTCTCAATTCCTTACCCAGAAATCATCTAGTTCAGGGGAAATCTCTCTTAAAGATCTAAGTAGGCCAAGATCTAATCAGACCATAAAAGAAATTCTAAGTTTGGGCTAATGGATGTATTCCTGCTCATTGTGTTTGCTCTGACCTGTGTGGGAAAATGTTGATTCTCTTTTGTCAGACCAGTGATATGGAAATGAATGTCTCTTTGACCAAATATTATCTCATTTAATCCTCACAACAACCCTGCAAGATAGGGGCTATTATTATCACCATTTCATAGTTGAGAAAACTGAGGCAAATATGGCTTAAGTGATTTGCCCAGGATCATACAGCTAGTAAGTGTCTGAGACTGGATTTGAACTCAGATTTTCTGACTCCAGGTCCAGTGCTCTAGCCACTGTTTCACCATTCATTACCAGACAGGGTGAGCCTCTCCAGACTTCCCTAGTGTGGTTCTAGGACAACAGACAGGGGACTCAGGGCAGACTTCTCTCTATTCTCCAGCAGATGCACTACTTTTGAACTTTGAACTTCTCCATCCTACTGCCACTGCTCCGAGTACCTTCTCCCCATTTTCAGTGTGTGATGTCTTCCTCTTACACTGTAGACTCCTTGAAGGAGGGAATTTCCTTTCCTTTATATTTGCATCCCCAGCTCTTAACACAGTGACTGGCATATAGTAGGCGTTTATTGACTCGCTCATTGACTGAGTTAGCCACCAGGCCTATAGGCAGTTTTTTAGCTTGGTAGGATTATCTGTTAGAGCTTGTGGTCCATTGGCCCGGTCTTCATCACTTTCATATGAAATGAGGTATCAGATTAGGATTTTAGTGAAATAATAATAATAATAATAACTCAGCTACTTTAGTACTTAATTATTTACAAAGTGCTTACACAAAAACAACCCTGTGAAGTTGATGGTGAAATTATTATTGTTCCTATTTTACAGATGAGGAAACATTCTTATTGGTTCCAGAGATAGAACCAATTCCAATATCAAGAAGAATTTCCTAATACTTGAGAGCTAATCATTTGGAGCTCAAAGTCTTATAAAAGTGAATGTTGAAAACTATCTTTACATTTAATTGGAAAAAATAAAATACGATTAAGTGAGGAAAAAAAACTTAGTACTGAAAAAAAATATTTAGAGCTAACCAACAATGGAATTGCTACCATAGGAAACTTTACTTAGGAGGTGTTCAGACAGGGGTATTCAATAGAATGGAAGCTGCTTGAGGAAGTTCCCTTCCTCATACTCATTCCCAAATAAATAACTAGTCAGTGCTAATCATGGTTCACTTCTTTTCACAAGCTAAACAGGCACAGTACAGTTACCACCCATTGCTGGTTCTGCAACCATAATTAGATTAACTTTTTCATTGTTCCTGAAAAAAGATATGTCAATCTACTCCCCACTCATCATTCTTATAATTTCCAAAATTTTCAGCCACCACTCTCCTATATGTTCTGTCTCCTCTTATTAGAATATAAGTTCCTCCCCAAGGGCTATAAAACTGTACATACCCTTTGATCTAGCAATAGCACTACTAGCTCTATATCCCAAAGAGATCATAAAAAAAGGAAAAGGACCCACATGTACAAAAATATTTATAGCATCTGTTTTATGATGGCAAAAAGTTAGAAATTGAGGGGATGCTTATCATTTGGGGAATAGATGAAGAAGTTATGGCATATGAATGTAATGGAATACTATTGTTCCATAAGAAAGGAGGAGCAGGTGGATCTCAGAAAAACCTGAAAAAACGTACACGAACTGATGTGAGTGAAGTGAGCAGAACCAAGAGAACATTGTATACAATAACAGCAGCATTGAATGATGATCAACTTTTATAGACTCAGCTCTTCTCAGCAATGCAATGATGTAAGATAATTCCCTAAAATTCATGATGGAAAATGCTATCTCCATCTAGACAGAGAGAGCTATGGAGTCTGAATATAGATCAAAGCATTCTATTTTCTCTTTTTGTTTGTTTTTCTTTCTTGTGGTTTTTCTCTTTTGTTCTGATTCTTCTTTCACAACATGACTAATGTGGAAATATATTTAATATGATTATACATCTATAGCCTATATTAGATTGCATGCTGTTTTGGGGAGGAGAGAGGGGAGGGAAGGGAAAAATTTAGAATTCAAAATCTTATAAAAGTGAACATTGAAAACTAAAAATAATTTATCTAAAAAAAAGAATATAAGTTCCTTGAGGTAGTAAGTTTTCACTTTTTTATTTGTATCCCTAGGATTTAGCACAATACTTGGCAAACAGTAATCTCTTAATAAAAAGAATCTAGGGCGCATAGCAGGTAGAGCTCCAGGCCTGGAGTCAGGAAGACTTGAGTTCAGAATCTAGCCTCAGACACTTACTAGCTGTATGACCTTGGACAAGTCACTTAAACCTGTGTGCTTCAGGTAAAAGGAAGTGAAGAAGGAAATGGCAAACTACTCTAGTATGTTTCCCAAGAAAACCACAAATGGGGTCATGAAGAGCTGGACATGACTGAAACAACTCAACAGCAAGAACAATGACAAATACTTACTCATCGTTCATTCATTCAGGTAGAACTGGAAAGGATCTCAGAAGCCATTTCGTTCTCTCCTCTAAAGATAAGGAGCTCAGACCCAGGCAGGTAAAGTGGCTAGCTCGAAGTCACCTGCTAATGAGATGGGAAGCAAGATTTGAACCCAATTCTCTAACTCCAGAGCTGTTACTCTTTGTTTGATGCATCCAGGAGGGAAACTGAACAGATCATTTCTAGCTGTAAGATTCTATGACTCAAGAAATACTTTAATAATAGCTAACATTTATAGCGCATCAAGGCTTACAAAACACTTTTATAAATATTATCTTGTTTGATCCTCACAACTTCGTAAGGTTGAATGTCCTGTAAAATGAATGCCCATTTTACAGAAGAGGAAACAGTCTGAACAAGGTTAAGTGACTTGGCCAAAATCACACAGCTAGTACTGTTTAAGTGTCTAAATGTAATAAGTGTCTAAGGCAGGATTTAAAACTCATATCTTCCTGACTCTTAAGTTCAGTGCTCAATCCATTGTATCTCCTAGTTAAAATATTTCAGGGATCAGTAATTTTGTAGGTGGGAATATTTCCTCCACCTACTGGGATGGCATTTTCTTTATATCTTAATAAATGACAAGGAAGCAAAGAAGGAAGGAAGGAAGGAAGGAAGGAAGGAAGGAAGGAAGGAAGGAAGGAAGGAAGGAAGGAAGGAAGGAAAGAATCACCCTGCAAGGTGTTGCCATGTAGCCCTTCACCTGGCCCATAGGCAAAGCCTTTCTTCCATCTTGAGAGGACCTGCCAAAGCCTGCACTCTCAGGACATGGCCTTTGAGAACTCCAAATAATCTCTACACAAGAAGAGGAATGAAAGAGGACAGGAGAGGAGTTTGATGAGTATGTAAGCAAAACAATGAGGTGTGGACTGGCAAATGACAGTCCTTCAAAGATACCCTTTATATATGTGCTTATCACAAAGTTGGACATTCCTGAGTACAGAGTTCCCTCTGTCTCCTTATTCCTGTAGACTCCTCCCCAAACCATTTTGAACCCCAACACCTGGGAAAGACCTAGAATCTGGATTGGCCAATCAGGAGAGACATTTTGGCCCACTCTGGGCTTGATTTACCCTAATGCTTTACGTGCCTTGGACGTGCTTTGCTTTTGTCTTTGAGTGAACTAAAAATGCCCCTTCTTGTGTCACCTGGACCAGATGAGAATGACCAAGAGCAAATCAGTAAGAACAGGATGCCTGGGACCAGACATTGTCTTGAATAGTGGGACTTTTCTTGTATTTACAACCTATGAACTTAAGAAATTCCTTTCCTGTAACATGGTTAAACATTTGGAGACTATAATTTTATCTGACATAGGCATCCTGAGCCATGAGGAGAAAGAAGAGTGAGAGGGAATTGCTCTGAATATATAAAAATCCTTTTTGTCTGTTCTTGGGTTCATTTACACGATGAGTTCCCATGCATATCTCTATATGCATGTTCTACAAGCTTTGAGAGAAATAAACACTCATATTTAGATTAATTTTGCTTGCCTTTCTAAGAATGAACTTAGTAATAGTTGACATCCCCCACAGTTACAGCATTTCACAGTAAGGAAAACCTGTGGGGCAGGGCAGAACTTGGGCTATTTCAGACTTTTATTAGTTACATGGGAATAAGAAAACTAACTTTAAGAAACTAACAATTAGACATTTCACATTTATGGTTGGGTAACTTTAGAGTAAGCAAGGAAGTCCATTTGTGATAATTGTGAGCAAACTGTTGGGCTGGGCTGACAAGAATAAAAGGCATTTCCTAAGTCAATCCCCACACCCCCAAGAAATATGTCTCTTGAGTGTGTCACATTAGTTCTCCAAGGGTTGCTGGCAAGGAGATCTTTTTTATTAAACCACACTACACTGTAACAAAATGGAGTGAAATTATAAAATGGAGTTGGTTTGGTATGGAAATCAAGAGAACCAACTAGATTCTATCTCATGAACATTGACTCCACCTTGTGCTGCCACATGTATTATCCTCCATCTTGTTTTTCTGCAAATCATCTGTAGGCAACTAGAGGGTATAAGCCATCTATTGTTTCATAAATGCAGGTGGATGCGATTAATCAACATCTCTCAATTCTGGGAAAAGAAAGATCCTGAAACCTACTTGGCGTCCTTTCAAGCTGACAGAAACTCACTCTTTCCCCCTCCCTACTTGGAAAGCCCCTAATTTTTCCTCCAATTAGAAATCAGATTGCCTAATTTTGTATCCTGATTTATATCCTATTAATTATTTTCTTTTAATTAATTGTTCCTATTTGATTAATTATTTTTAATATGTAAAAATTTGCCTCTCTTTGTATGCAGGGTCTTTGAACTGACTGGAGAGTCCATTGATCCATTTAGTATGCCTGTTCTGCTAATAAATTGTATAGCTTGGATTGTTTTCTGTTGTTATAAATTATTTACCACAACTGACAATAGATAACTTAATCTTTGCCTCCCTCAGTTCATTTCTTTAAAAGACATAGAGTGCTTAGTTGTGTAGTATATCTATTCTTGTCCTTTCACCCTTATTCTTTTGCTTCCCCCTTTATATGCTCTATTCCTACCACCCCTAGCAATGAGGAATGAGCTCCTCACTTTTCTACCCACTGGGGAACCAAAAGTGAGGGCCAATCGCTGCACAGTAGTGTTTTCCCTTCCTTGATTTTGTGGGAAATCATAGGGTCTATCATCTATATTGTTTTAAAGGGAGTTGGGAAATTTCCTCAGACTGTTTGTTTATGTTGGGGTTTCCCAGAGGATAGAGGGACAAGGACTGAAAACACAAACAGAAGAGTTTGCATTAGTAACATCATTGGTGTGGGGAGAGTAAGAGACCCTCCCTTCCTCCCCCCAAAGTGATCAAATAATTTAAGGGAATTCAGCACAAAAATATCCAGGCCAGAAAAATCAGCAAAACATTTTTACAAATCATCTCATTTGGTCCTGACAACAAGCTTGTGAGGTTGTATGTAACTACTATTATCCCTATTTTTTACGGAAGAGGAAACTGAGGCTGAGAAAGGTTTAGTGACTTGCCCAGTCATTTAAAATGCCAAGCACGTACTAGGAAGCTTAGAAGGGAGAAATAAATACAAAGAAGTTCCTTGAAGTCAGGGAGTGGTTTTTTTTTGTCTTAGTTTCATAGGCCTAGCCCTATGAACACAATGAAATAAGTGTTGAAATATTTTCTCAAATGACTATTGTATAATAACTTTTTTTAATGGGGCAGTGTGGTAGAGCTAAGATATGTGGACAGGAAGAGTCAAATGTTACTTCCCCCCTGAGTATCTCTGGTTCAGGTTGACCCTAGACAGTCTACAAGAATTTAGTAAGCTTAACTATGTCCATACTCTGTACTAAGCACTTCATCCTCAAGATGCTCACATGAGGAAGAAACTTATAAACTACCAGGGAGATATAAGCCATATACAGGGAAAATGGAAAGTAATCTCAGAAAGAAGGCAATGGAAAGTAGAAAGGTGGAAACAGAAACCTGAATATGTCACAATTACCTCTTTGAGTCTCAGTTTCATTGTCTGTAAAGTGGGGGTTATAATAGCATCAATCTCACAGCATTGTGAGGATCAAATGGGATGGGTAAAGGATTTGGTCCTTGAAATCACAGGACTTCACAAAAAGAAAAAGGAGGGGGAGCAATAAGGAAGTGGTTAAGTAACAGTCAAAATTTGTCCAAGCCTCAAGATACTTTTATGAGGTACCAACCAATTTCTCAGTAAATGATCAGGGAAGCAAAGGACAGTTTCCCCCAGCCCCTCAAGTGACCTTTGAAAGTCAAGTCAAGGGTAAAGCCAGCAACCCAACTGAATTCTCTCACTATTCCCCTCCAAACAACTTTTAAATGATGCCCCAAATAAAATTCTGGAGTGGTACAGTCAACAAAAGGTTGGGCTGAGACATTTTTCCAGTCCAAGAGAACTTAGGAAGATAGCAAGAGAGGTCTGTGACACTAGGGTTGGGGACTAACCCAAAGTAAGAAGCAACTTCAGGATCTCTCAGTCTGGAGACAGTAAGGGGGTCAGACAACTGGTCAAAAAGAGATTACAGGGGATCCTTTGCTGGCACTAGAGGCAGCTGATGCTGATTGACAACTCCATTACTCATACACAGTTCTGTGTCTCAGTTCCAGGGTGCAGATGAATGCTTCTGGTCCATCACATGGGAACAGAGACTCTGGTCACTGTTCCAAGAAGAGTGGAGCACTAGAGCTTATGGCTGCAGGACAGTAGGGGTCCTTTCTGGGTAAAGACCAGAGTACAGACCAGGAGAGCAATGACCATACTCTCCCTGTATCACACCACTTTGAAAGCACCAAAAACTTTCAGACCCCCCAGAAGTAGCTCTGAAAAAAAAATCCCAGTACCAAAAAGCCTGAAGCTCAGAACAGTACCTCACCACCCAGATGAGCAGAGCCCAACTTTAATATAAAATTCAAAATCAAGAAATAAGCTGGAAAAATTAGCAAACAATAAGCACCAAAAACTTGATCATAAAAAGGCACTGTGGTTGCAGGAAAGACCAAGATATGAACTTAAAAAAAAAAAGATGATAATGTGAAAACAGCTACAAACAAAGCCTCCCCCACCTCAAGGAAAATGCTAATTGGACCCAAGCTCGACAAGAATTCCTAGAAGAGTTAAAGAGCTAAGAGTGGTAGAGAAAAAAATTGGGGGAAAAATGAGAGTGATGCCAGAAAATTAGGAAAAGATAATTAACAGCTTGATAAAAGAGACACAAAAAAATACTGAAGAAAATAATCCCTTAAAAAACAGAATTGGCCTAATGGTAAAAGTGACACAAAAATTCACTGAAGAAAAGTACTCCTTAAAAAGCAGAATTGGCTAAATGGAAAAAGAGGTATAGAAGCTCACTGAAGAAAATAATTTCTTCAAAATTAGAATTGGGCAAGTAGAAGCTAATGACTCCACAGGATATTAAGAAACAAGAAAACAAAGTCTGAAGAATGGAAAATAGACCAAAATGTTAATTATCTCATTGGAAAAACAACCGACTTGGAAAATGGATGGAGAGATAACTTAAGAATTATTGAACTACCTGAAATCCATGATTTAAAAA